TAAATCCGGAACATACAAACAATTTGTAAGATAAATCTTTACATCATTATTTAAAGTTAGATAAACAGTCCCAATTGCTTTGGCAGCAACCTTTGCTCCATTGCCCATCCTTTAGGATTGTTTCATTATATTCTAGCTTGTTACTTCTTGCCATTATCTGCAAATCATTGCAAATATGTGAGCCACAACCGGTATCTAATACCCAAGAAGAATCGTTAACTGATAAGTTAACTTCAACAAAATAAATACCTGAACTCTTCAGGCTAGCAAGATACTCCTTGCAGTTCCTCTTCCAGTGCCCAGTTTTACCACAATGATAACATTCATGATTCGACTGAGGTTTAACCTTTTCTTTATTCTTCCCTTTGTCGTTATTTGCCTTCTTATTTGGTTTATTGGGAACCTTTCCTTTCCCCTTCCTTTTCTTAGACTTTACAGTCTTTGATCCAAAAGAGGATCCAATAAGAAGCACCGGCTTATCCTTTTTAATCGTGGATTCAGCCGTCTTTAACATATTCACTAACTCAGGGAGAGAAGTCTCCATGTTATGCATGTTAAAGTTAACGACAAAGTTGTCAAATGACGAAGGCAGAGATTGCAGCATGAGGTCCACATAGAGTTCATTATCCATAATGACTCTTAGGGATGAGAGCCTTTCAACAAGAGCTATCATCTTCAGCCCATGATCATGAACTGAAGAGCCCTCGGTCATACAACACCTGAAAAGTTCCTTAGATATCTGATATCTAATCTGCCGCGTCCTATCACCATACAACTCTTGTAAGTGTAGGAGTATTTCAGAAGCATCATTCAGTAATTCGTTCTGTCTCTGCAACTCATTAGACATTGATGCTAACATGTAGCACCGAGCTTGGAGGTTGTCATCTTTATGATGTAAATACGCTCCATACTCATCCGAAGTCTGATCTTCGAGTGGAGGAGGAGGAGCTGTATCCATTACATAATCCCTCTTCTCCGATTGAAGAACAATTTTTAGGTTCCTTAGCCAATCGTTAAAATTGGGTCCAGTTAATTTGTTTTGTTCAAGGATACTTGCAATTGGATTCTT